CCCACCTTGTTCACTGCTTCAAATATGATACAACGGGCCATGTTCACTCAAATTCAGAGCCCCTCTGCTTTTAATTTCTTAAACATCAATAGTTCTAATTTCTTTAAACCACTAAAAAAAAAGTCAAAAATAATTTCCATATTTTATGAACGTTTGTAAAACCAGGAAATTTTTTTTAGACATAATAAAGTTCTAATATCAATGAAAAATGCTGCATTTTCATTAAATCATACAGCATAAATAATGTTGGTGATATTTAAAAAGGTTATATATAATGTATATTTCTAAACAGTCAAATGCAGAACTAATCCCGCCCACCCCAGTGCACTGCCTGTTGTGCCAGTGGAGCCTCATTTTTAATAGATTTCCTGATTTAACTGCGTTAGAATCATTAATATTTTTCATAAAACTTTAAAAAAATTTTATAAGCTATAAAGTTTAAGAAAAGCAGTTAGTCGGAAATAATTGCAGATTTTAATTGATTATTTTATTAATATTTCTGCTAAAGTTGCATCAAATATATATATTTTTAAGTTTTGGTCAAATATGTCAAATAAAAACAAAATATTAGTTTAAGTTTTTTTTTTAGACTCTGATTTCTATATATGGGTAGAGTGTGTGGGTTTCTTCTCTGTTGCTGTCAGAACAAGCAGTGAACTGTCCCAGGTGTACACCTGGGATTACAGTCGCCATCTTGGAGCGGTTGTCAAACCTGTTTGGCTAAACCAAAGCAACAGAAGACGCCTCAGCAGGTTTCGCAGGCTTTTGTTCAAAATAACCTACTATTCGGCTCGGGGGATTTAAAAAAAGAAAAACATAACATTGTTTATAGTTTGTTATTAGAATATTACTGTATTTATCTACACATACGAAATGCCAGCTAATGTCAGCAATATGCATAAATATCTGTAGTATGCAGCAGAGGAACAAGATCTCCTCAGGTTCTCCAGCAATAAGCTCATCAAGGAACAAAAACATTAAGAAAATCTAATTAATCTAAATACTCACCAACAGTTAGTTCCGCCGAGTTGATAAGAAGAAGAACCGCAGACAGAGACCAGGTAATGAACATGGTCATTAAAAAGAAAAGATTGACTCCAAAAACAGTTTCAGCTGATAATACTAAAGAAGAACATCATCAGCAAAGTTGATGTCTGGGAGGATGAATTTGGAGAGAAATACTGGAGTTAGAAAAGGAAGAAGGATCGAGAAAAATGGGAGTAAGTCCATCTATAAGGAAAATGAAAGTAACTAAGAAAGGAGATTCTTACAGAGATAATGAATGACGCACGGAATATCTACTAGAAACACTTGACACAGATTTCTGAAAGTGCCTTAATGAAATAAAACACAAGTTCATGTTTGATGAGAATATGTGTTGGAGACAAACACTAGAAATCAGATGCAGGGAACGTTTGGGTATGAATGTAAAGGCTATGCGTTACAGGCGGCTGTGTGAATGGAAATGGAAAGGTGCGCACTTACCTGCTGCCAAAGTGTTGATAAGTTAGGTCATGGGGAGCCGTAACTTTAGTTGAACATTTGATCTCTGTATTATTCATTTAATTTCATGGTTTCGTAATTCATCTAGTGGCGCTCATCTGTTGTAATGAATTGCCTTAATCTCAGCTTATCTGTCACCAGATCAGCACGTCTCAAATCTAAGAAACACTCAACCTGACCTATAGTCTCAGCTCAGTGGCTAAAGGTTTGGAAAAGAAGCTGCAACAATTTGATTTTAATTTTGATTAAAAAGATTGTCTCCACGGCCTCCTTTACTAAAACAGTGGTCGATTGCTGACCATTACCTCACCGGTTGCGCTCTAAGCTCTTGCACACTGATGATCAAGTGTCATGAATCTCTCCACGGCCTCCTTTACTAAAACAGTTGTAAATTCATGATGCTTGATCATCAATGTTAAAGAGCTTAGATCGCAACAGGTGAGGCAGTTCTCAGCAGGCATGCTCTTCTTCTCATAACACGGATCAGCAAAAGGCTAAAGGGCTATTCCACCTCTTTTCTTACAGCCTCAAGTGTTGTTAATCTGCTCTTCTTGAAAATCTATAGCTATCAGAAACTTCAAACCTGCTTTATATTATTCCAAGAAAAAAAAAAACAATTTTTAAAAACTCCCTTTGGGTTTTGTGAAGGAACCCTGGAAGGGATTTTCTTTGCATCACAACCACATAATTAACCTGGCATAAGCCAGATTGAAACATATAGTCCAATTCAGTTTCTACTCCGTCAGGGGTGGAGCTCGATGGGGGGCCAGGGGTGGCCACCCTTGCTCTTTTCTGAACAAAAATTTGAATTATTTGGGGTAAAGATACAATTATGTGCCTCTGCAAGTCATCTAGGAGTCTTCAGCGAAATCATAGATAAATAACTATTCTCATAAAAACCTATTAAATAATCAATTTATGTAGATATAAGTACTTGTAAATATCAATTTTATGCAAAATGATTACTGATAAAAGTAGGTAAGTAATGACAATGGAAAAGATGTTTGCACAAAACTCAAACCTGATAGAATTATCCACTATACCTTCTATCTTGAAAGTACAGGTGTTTGAATATATTTGTCTATTTGTTAGCAAAGCCTGCAGGAAAGTATAGCTAGTCTTTATTTAGAAAATATAGATGTTGTGCTTGTTCCTGTAGGAACAGTGTAGATTGACCCTGAGCTTCTGGTGCTATTGGTTATTGACTGGCCGCCCCTATTAGGATTTTCTGGCTACGCCTCTGTACACCATATCAATCTGGGTATAGTTCTGTAGAAAGTGTTAGCAAAAGGGAGGGCCATTTAGCACAATTCTTCGAGCTGATTGGGTACCCAGCTCCCATGTCGAAGTTTTAGCCAATCACAGCCACAGTAGCAGCTGAGACGTATCAGATTCTTTATTTGTTTTATGTTCTTAACTAATAAATCAAATTCTTACCAAATCCTTTTGAGAGAAACACACAGACATCTTTTCTATCCACAAGGGGAAAATTCTTGTCCTTTTGCTAATTTTTCTAAAAGAAATAGAGGGTATTCCTAAAACCGGACTAGACATATTTGTGTTGCTTCCGCCTTCTGCCTCTAGTTGACATGTCATCATACATGTCTCTGTATTTCAAATTGTTCAAAAGGAACAATTGGCTTTATCACTAATCTATTTTCATCCTGTATGACATCTACCTGTAAATGCTTTAGACTTAAGGTGTGATGCACAGTGGCTTCACCATGGACTGAGTCGCTAAATAAGAGGAGCTTGAGCTACATGAATCAAACTCCCTGTCACAAGTGTCACCTTGCATACTTTTTCCTTTTAGAAATGAACTAGTTTCAGTACTTATAGACTATTGAAAACCAGAAATGCCTCATTTACACGTTTTTTTATTACTAATTGTTTGGTTAAAAAAGTTTAAACAAAAAAAAAAGCAGTTTTATAAGTCAGAACATTGTAAAATACAACAGAATTCCAAGTAATGAGTCGCTTCATGCACAGTCCTAAGAGCTCTTAGTAAAAGGCAAAAAAATAAATAAAAAAACAATGTTAATTGCAGTCAGTGCACATTGGTTTATATAACAGTCTGCATTCAATGTCCTTTTTTCATGTTTTGTGACGTTAATTGTGGCGTCTAAATCACTGTTTTTATTTGTTAAATAGGGCTCTACCCACATTATTTTCACCCAATTAATTTAAATTCCAGCCAACCTACAAGAGAAGAAGAACTGTAGATCCCACTAATTTTCAGCAGATCAAAATGTTGAAAGACATCTTATATTTGTCTAACTGGTTGATTTTATTTATCTTGCAGTACTCTCTGTCAGTGTTCTACATAAAAAATACATTACCTGAGTTGAGAATTTTTTTTATGTTTAATTACATAAGGACTCCTTTAGTGGATGAAGGTGGAGAAGAAGAGGATGGAACATTAACTGAAGCAGGTGCTGGAGGAATGGGAGTGGGCCTGGGAGAAGGCTTGGATGAGCTTTCTGGGATGAGTCCAACATGGAGCTGTGGGAAAATTCCTCTGTCTCATAACTAAACCAAGAACGAAGGGAGATCAGTGCAAGCAGCCAGACAGGTGCTTCAGATGGTGAAGTGGGAAGAAAAGGCCTGGAACCTCAGAAGAAAGGAGGCAACAACCTGATTGAAGACTGAAGTTCAGCTGGTATTGCAGAAGAAAAGCTGGACGATGATTGGCTTCAGAGGTGCTTAGGCCCTGACGTCGGCAGGTAAAGCTGATAAGAGACTTCCACGTTGAGTTTTCCATTCAGCTTAATAATAATTTGAGTACTTGACTATATAGCAATATATATTACACTTTTTTAATGCAGGTTTATAAAAGAAATACATGCAGAGAAAAAAAACAAAATCACTGACAAAAGGTACTGGTTTCTCTGTAGTTAACATTCAAGTTCACAAGATTTATTTCTATGTTATTTTAAATCAAGTAGGAAAGTCATTATCTGGAGAAAACAAATATAAGGGGATAATCAATAACTTTATTCACACAAAGTACAGTCAGGATGAAATTCTGCAGAAAGATACTGACTGAGGTTCAACGCAAAAATTTTCCTCACATGACAGCTCTCTTTTTTTTTTATTACATTTTAACTCATTTTAAGCAAACCCGTATTTTATAGAAGTAATTTTAAGCTTTTTTACATTCAGCTGCTTCATTCCTCAAGTCAAGACATGATGTGAAAAACAGACTTCAGAGTTGTCACAAGTGGAGTGTGCTGCCCTCTAGTGGTAATACAGTGAATTGACCTACCATAGAGCGCAACATCCCCAACAATAACACATACATTTAAATAATTTAGGATTAGTGCATATATGTCTGATTTTCTTCACAAAGAAAAAACCTTATTTATATATTTATATAGCTAGAACTTTTTTAGACCATAAAGTTGCAGCAAACAGACATAGTTTATAACACTGACGGATAAAAAAAAGCATCTGTCCAACCCATGATAACAAACACCTGGAAAAGATAAAACTTAAGAAAAACAAAACAATAAAGTTATTGCTGTTGTGTTTAAATTAAGACAAAGAAGTAAATATTTCTCCATAAGGCAGGATTAGAGTGAGGCAGGCTTAGGTCCTTTAGTGTTCCAGTTCATCCCTTCATGTTTCTCTCCTGTCAGCAGATGTTCCTCCTGCTTCCTCAACATTATGCTCAGACAGAGACAACTGTCCACCTACAGGAGACTGTTGCTTAGGTCTCCACCAGCATTTGAAATCTCAGTTTACTCTCTAATATTCATCTTCAAGTTAAACAGCTTTTAGGTTTGTAACATTTTCCCATAGAGGACCAACTCACAGCAGTTACACACATGGATGAAGGGTGTTTCAGCTTTGTTTCTCATCTTCAGAACCTGGTTCAGGTGTTTTTCCTCCACTTTGCTTTAGTGAGGAGTTATCTGTGAAATGATACAAAAAGGATCAATATAGATCAGAGCCATTTTACCTAAAAATGCTAAACCAGCTTTTAGTCTGATCATCAATACCATCAAAATGACAAAACATCTTTTTTTTTTCACAGATCAGATCAGATCTACAGCTGAAGGTCTGAGATTTATGTCTTTCGCTTTGCATTCTGATGAAATCATGTTTGAGAATCTTAATTTGACGTCTAAGAGGAAATAACTAAGTTTCTCTGTTTTGTAGACAGTTAGCCTTCTAGCTGTTGATGAGACGTTCAAAATGTTTTTTTCCCAGTTGAAGCCATTGTAGCCCATGGTTACTATGGAAACTGATGACAGCTGATACAACATTGTTGACTAAAAAGTTGTGAATTTTCCTATAAAAATACAAGCCTCCTGAACAACTGATCAAGACCAGCCTGCAAACAAATTAACAGCATCTTAGTGTTAAATAAACAGACATTTAAACACCACTTTATAGAAAATCATTTTATCAAACACTCTGCATCATCTGTTTAGTCTAGTATAATTATTTGACATTAGTTTTTTGTCACTCAGTCAGATGAGCTTAAAGCTATTGGGAAGAATTGTCAAAGAGATTATTTAGAAGAGAAAAAAAAGCATTAAAAATGGTCAAAAAGGACTGGGCCTCATCTTTCTAGTCTAACATAATAATCAAGAGTGTTTGTTTTGGATCTTAACTGATGATCCCCAGAAAATATAGATATATATACCAGATGTGGTTCTCTGGGTTAGACCTTTGCTCTGGGGAATCGTGAAGTTTAATTTCATCTCAAGCTCACTAGTTTGATTGAAGAGGTGGGTAGAGTTA